AAACTACCACAACAAGAGGACATAGTCTTAAATTAGAGGGACAAAGGTTTAAAAATAATATCAGGAAGTATTACTTTACTGAGAGGGTAGTGGATGCATGGAATAGCCTTCCAGCTGAAGTGGTAGAGGTTAACACAGTAAAGGAGTTTAAGCATGCGTGGGATAGGCATAAGGCTATCCTAACTATAAGATAAGGCTAGGGACTAATTAAAGTATTTAAAAAATTGGGCAGACTAGATGGGCCGAATGGTTCTTATCTGCCGTCACATTCTATGTTTCTATGTTTCTATGTTAAAGGTTTTGGAGATTTGCAGTTTTATTACCGTGAGCTCTGAGTTGAATAATATTTACCAGAGTTTTTGCAATGTAATCTGAAGTGACTCTGGAGAGTTCTAATCATTTCTCTAGGAGCATTCCAGAGAATCTCTGCAAGATGTGGCACAGTCAGTGCATGGTGACGCTGCGGGCAGTGGCATGTAAGCAAGACCTCTCTGAAATAAAATGGACAAACTGAGCAGCTTCAGGTTACAAGGTCGCAGGTAGTAAAAGAATTGGGGTCACATAGATAAAGCCCCCCATATAAATGATCAGTATTTCTCCTTTAAAATATGTGCTACTTGATGACATTGCTGTATGGTATTGGGTACAGGAGCTGTCCTTCATGCAGAATGAGATATGAAGACATGCTTGGGGATATCCTAAAATATGAGCGTTATTAGTGGGCAGTTATACAATGTAACACACAGCCACCATCTTTATACGTTCAGTAAAGTATTAATCCACATGATGAGGGCGGCCATTTTGTGCTTGTGTGGCAAATGATAAATGGAAGGCTGTAGAACCATAGGCCCCTCTTTGGACGCACAAGCTATAGAAGGCACACTGAGTTCATTGTATTTGTTTGCTATGGATCTATTTTCAGATTCAGTCCTGGATACTACATTACGTGTTGGAGTGTCCGCCGGCCATCTGATGAAGGATGCAGGAAGGAAAGAGCTCGGTTTTAATGTTAATCTTGTTTACTGGTCTAACATTAGATTTGGATAGAGAATGAAGTAGAGCTCAGGTTTGTCCAGACACACAGAGTTATTCACTGAAGTGAAAATTATCAGGAATTCCAAGTGAATTCAAAGTGAATTATACATTTAAGGCCAAAGTAGCCAAACTGGAAGAATAGCTGACTTGGAGAGTTTCTCCAGTTCAACTTGTTTGGCCTTAAATCTATAATTCAGTATGAATTCCTGACAATTCTCCCTTCAGTAAATAACCCAGAGAAAGCTCATTAAAGCTTGACAAAGCAAAAAGCAACGTGTTTCCTTCTCCAAAAGTGATACTTATGCCTGAGAAAGGAAACTATTTACTGGATCGCCATCTGGGTGACATATCTACTGGGTCTGCTGATACCTGGTCACTGCAGGGGCCATTATTGTGAAGCCAGTGTCAAACGTTCCCCATCCTCAAATGTTGATAGCGCTCCATACAGATACATAGAGATAGATCCACATATAGAGATACTGCTACGTATTTGCTTGAAGGACTGAAAAATACAATAAAATGTAGAAATCCATGTATTTAACTCTATCCGGCAACTGAGCACATCACTCTTGGCTCCATGTTAACCAGGTGCCTTGGTAGGGTCTAAAAACACCTAGAGCGCAAAAACTATTTGGCGATCTCTTTCTAAAGCCTTGCACCTCCAAAACCCCAGCCATTGCTCTTTCCAAGCTCCACCACGTCTTTTGACAGACACACACACAACAGCTGCACACAGACATGCACAAACACACAGAGTCACATACATACACATATACAGGTACTGACACACACACACACACAACAGGTACACACACACACGCACATAGGCACAGCCAGCTAGCCACAGGTGTGCACACACACAACCAACCAGCCACAGATGCACACAGACATGCACAAACACAGAGTTTCATACATACACATATACAGGCACTGACACACACACATACACACACACATAGGCACAGCCAGCTAGCCAAAGGTGTGCACACACACAACCAGCCAGCCACAGATGCACACAGACATGCACAGACACAGAGTCACATACACACACGCACATGGGCACAGCCAGCTATCCACAGGTGTGCACACACACAACCAACCAGCCACAGATGCACACAGACATGCACAAACACAGAGTTTCATACATACACATATACAGGCACTGACACACACACACATACACACACACATAGGCACAGCCAGCTAGCCAAAGGTGTGCACACACACAACCAGCCAGCCACAGATGCACACAGACATGCACAGACACACAGTCACATACACACACGCACATGGGCACAGCCAGCTATCCACAGGTGTGCACACACACAACCAACCAGCCAGAGGTGCACACAGACATGCACAGACACACAGATGCACATATATACACATACACAGGCACTGGCACATACACATACAGGTACACATAGACACACACAGTTGCACACAAACACAGGCATTCACAGACACATGCAGACAGGCCACTTGTGTTTCTCCTCTCTCTCACACTTCTTACCCTGGTCCACCCCACCCCGGTTGCCCCTAAATATATAGGCTGCCCCTGAATATTGTTAGTGGAAGAGGAGACATGGAAACAATCTTTCTGTTCTCCTCATTTACATTGTGTGCCCTGGCTGTGCTAGAACTGAACTGGATTGCAATGCTGATCACTAAGTTATTAATGTACAATGAAAGAAAATTAAATTTAACATAAACGACGTAGCACAAGTTATAGGAGATATTTTTGTTTTATTCAATTGTGTAATTTCAAGACAAGTGACAGGTCCCTTTTGAGTGAAGACAAAAGTAAAACGTGTAATAGAAATCTCCCTCCCCACTGCCACATTATTCACACACATTCCTTTTTTCTTTTTTTTTAACCATATTTCACATTAATTGCATCATCCGAAGAACCATCATAATTAATAAAATGACAGGATCCCTTTGTACAGCGCTATGGGATTTGCTGGCGCTATATAAATAATAAAAGAATAATAATAACTGCTGCTTTCAGTATCTGTTATTTAAATCTTTCATTGAAAGTGTCCGCTCTGCCCCTGTTCAACCTGTAGAGAAGATATGTGTTCAGGAAAACATTATGTGACCTTAGTTGGGGGTCCTGGGCTCCTAGTCGCTGGCAAACAGGGATTATTTTATAGTCTGTTAGTTGAAATCACAAGTCGTACCAGGGATCAGCCACGCTCAGGGTACAGGCCTGGGCAGGTAACACACACACACCATATAGCTGGAATAACTGGCCTGGTTACATAAATGATAAAATAATCTGTGTGGACAAGGGAGAACAGAATGGGAAAAAACGAACCCCTAATATCACAGCAAAGCATTGAACAATCCCCAAATATAAAACAAATATTAAAGGATTGGAAGGATTCGATTCTTGGGAATTAACGTTCTCAGGATATGAACCTGATGGAACATGCAGGATTATCTGGGTTATTCCATAAAGTGAGAATTTCAAATTTGGAAAAATTCTCTCAGCCAGCTAGGCGTTCAGTCTATCTATCTATCTATCTATCTATCTATCTAAACAGTCTCTGAGCTAGCCAGCCTTTCAGTTTGATTAGTCTGGCCTTAAATCAGATTTTTCCTTTAACTTCTCACATTGGTGAAAAGCTCTGTAAGAGTTAGGAGGGAAGTTGGTTCTGGAATAAAACCACCTGAGCCCAAAACCCACTGAGGTGAGGAACAGCATCTTAAAGGCATTTTACAGAGTCTGGCTATTGCTTGGCTATTGTCTAATCCTAGTGGCATTCAATGGGTTAATGCATAGAGCAGGATTGAAGTTGGGATGTGATCCCTGCTTGTATTTGCTGGATGTGTGTCTGTGGGAGCTCTGACATTCCTAGGGTGGGGGAGAAAGATCTGTGCTGCATCTCACACGCCTGCAGAGTACAACGTGGCAGTTCTGGGGGGAGGTGACCCTGAAAAACCTTCCAGAAAAGTCAGTCTCAAATTCTAGAAGAATATTACTTTAAATGTGCAAAATCAGCAGCCCCTTGGCAATAACTGGTAAGAAGATTCACTGTTTTATTGTTACATTGTGATCAGTAAGACCAAAGGGATACAATAAAAAAGGCTGCAATGGCAATTCCTAGCATCCTGGATGATGGGAGTTAGAGTCCAAACACAAGCTACAGTTTCCATTATTTTTTCCCCCTGCACTAATGTTAAAATATGACTTCAGCACCCTATTACCTGCAGACAGAGTGATCCAAAATGTAAACTGACAATATTAAACCCATAACAAGATTGTAATGAGGGTAGATATCCAGGATTGCCCCATATTACATCACATTGTTGTTGTTTTCTCTATTTGTACTTCTCCCATTATACTGCTGTTGCTTTATATATTGTTTGGGTTTGTTAAACCTAATTGCTCCTGGGTAGATTTTATCTAACTCTCTCAGTGATATAACAGGATGTATAATGGGAGGTGTAGGCTGACGTTATAGGTCTCACCCACAGAGCTTGCAATCAGTATTTAGCCAGATAGAAACTGTAGGAAAAAAGTGATTAAATATATAACATTTCCAGTAATATGTATCTATAAAAGACTAAGGGATGGCATGCTGAATATATTCTGCCCTGCATATAGAACTCATAGTGTCCCCCCAACCCTCCTTGGGGGCATTACCCTGTCATCAGATGATGCCTTAGATGCCTATTGCTCACCGTGCCATGAGAGTGCCAATCACAGGATTAAAAGTGGATCCTATGCAATTGTTACAGATTTATCCTATTGTTACAGTAACAGAAATATCCGTTAGTTTGTGTAGCATTAAATCTATTACTTATGTTACAGAGATGGGCCCTCCACATTGCCTGGCAGAGGGCATGGCTCTCTCACTGTGCCCTACCCTGAGAAACAGGAGAAAGGAATTTTTGGGCTGGGAAATTGGAGAGGAGGGACTGGGGACGTCAGACTGTGAAGGGGGGACTTCAAAGCCCCTTATTTAAATAAACTTTTCCAAACTTCCAGAACTTTCCTCTGCAGGGTATATAGAGCCAGCTAGGCAGAGAGAGACACAGACTTGCAGACACAGAGCAAGGAAGAGGTTGGAGAAGGTCTCAGCCCCAGGTGCCCTGAAATCCTTCTAGGTAAGGCCATTCCCTGTCTGCATGCTGTCTCTGATTTAACCAGGTGTTTGTGCAAGGGGTGCACTTATTTTCCAACTATGCTTCTTGTACTAAGTGGGGTTTTATCTAATTACTGCAAAGGGTGCATATTAGCTGCCTCTGAGGCTCTGAATGGGTTAAATGGCATTAAAAGCTGTATTGATCAAATTGGGGCATTATATTGGATATAACACAAGGTGCATTGATTTGGAACATTTGCAGCCCTTGCATGATCAATATCCTGGTATTCACTAAGCAGTGAGACCGACTTGCAAAATGAAACCGAAAACTGCAGACTTGGGAGGGAAAAATGTCCACCTTGACAACTGGAGGATTTTAACCAGCCCATAATTCTGCAAGTCAGTCGTCCGCTTGTTGGCTGTTTAGTGAATACGACCATAAATAATTACAAATGAGTTTGGCTGGTTAATAGTTTTCGCTGTTTTTTTAACCGTGTTATTGCCATATTTGTGCCGAATATATTATTTTTGCAATGTGTTGGGCACTGCGCAGGCTCTAAATCAGGGGTTCTCAAACTCTGGCCCCCCAGATGTTGCTGAACCACAACTCCCATGATTCTTTGAATTACATAGCCAGAGAATCATGGGAGTTGTAGTTCAGCAACATCTGTGGGCCGGAGTTTGAGGACCCCTGCTCTAAATGGTTAAATCCAATATACAATAAACCGCCATTTTGTATTTGGTAGAATTGCAAATCCTTTTAACGTATTACTGTGTGCATGCAATTATTGTTTAACCCCATCATTGAGATTGTTTGTTTGTTTGTTTGTTTTTCCAACGCTGCTATATTGGCTTTATCATTGCTGGCGCCAACTCACCGTAGCTCAAAGATTAGTAAATAAGCCACAGAAATATTGTTAACATCGCCCACAACTGACAATAAAAGGACTGAAAGTCAGGGCAGAGAATCTGCAGTTCCAAACACAGACAGAATGTTAACAGTAAGCTTCATTTTCTGCATCACATGGGCGGTTATAGATGTTTTGTAGATAATAATATTGTACAGCGCTGCGGAATTTGTTGGCGCTTTATAAATAAAGATAATATGCATTCAAAATGGCCGGGCTCTCTAGGACAAGTAATGCAGCAATGCGAGAGTTAAAGAGCACTGGGCCCATGACAGCCCTGCCACATCAGCACATCACACCAACTCTGACGCCCTGCACCCACCATCACCCGCAGCCCCCCTCCTTCCATGCAGCCATCGCTAGTCCCTTCCCCTGCAGACAGTAAATCTTTATTATTATTATTATTATTATTATTATTATGATTTTAAATGGTCAGATATCTCCTACAATGTGACCCCTGGACCATGACAGTGCAGCTTGTTTAGTCTGTTCCCGAGGATTCTGCTTTATCTGTCTATTTCTTTCAGAATGAAAATTGCAAACGTTGACTACAGTATGAAAAAGTGTCAAGGTATCTTGGTTAAAATTTTAAAGAAAAACCACTCCATTATTACTGGTCTGCTGGCTGGTCTTAGCAGCTATAATCCTATTGTTACCTGTCTGGACAATAGGATATTACTGTAACGTACCTGGTTAAAGATATTGATTTCATTGTAAATATTATTTCCCTTCAAATCTCAATGAATTCTTCAGCTCTCTGCAAAGGTTTAATAAACTTTGAGTTTATTATTATTTAAAAGGCTCAAACATATTCTGCAGCGCAGTACAATTATATTTGCTGCCCTTTAAAAGGCACTGTTTTAAAACCAGCCTTCACTGGTCCTTAGTCACTAAGCTTTTAATAAGTAGCTGGAAGACGTTTTGCTCTGGCAGTCAGATCTGTAGCTGGAGGGAACACTTTAAAATCTAGGTGGGGTTAAGATTAATGAATGAGCTCAACAAACTAAAATTAGAAATGGCTCTTTGTTTAAGACTTGGCGTGGATCCACGGCTTGCTGCATCCTGCCCTGCATGTTCTTCTGAAGCATAGTCACCTTCTTAACATTTGTGAATAGTTGATTTACGCTTTAATGTGCATCATCTTTAATCCTCTGCAGGGAAAGTTACGACTGTACCTTTAATGCCCACAACTGCCTGTTTCTAATATTTAGTTAAAGAACTTTAACTATGCAGCGGCTTTGTAGCCTCACGGCTAGAAAAACCCACTGGCACCTCCCCAATCCCTGAGACTGTTAAACAAATCCTAGTACTGTAATGCGCTGCGGAATAAACTGGCGCTATATAAATACCAATAATAATACCATTACCAGTGGGGAAAATTTCCATTAAAGATTAGAACTAAGTTGTGCACAGAGTAGAATAACCGGAATCATTAGTACTTTCCAAATTAGTTATTAACAAAAAACTTTTTTAAGTTGCTGCTTGTCCAGGAGAACCATAAAATGAATACTTTTTTTTTATTGCAGTTTAATTAATTTATTTGTAGATGTCTTCCAAAACAAAAAGAATAGTACTTAGTCAACTTTGGTCATTCAAAGTTTGTTGCATTTACTGCAGTCACTCCATGTAGCCACTAGGGGGAGTAAAAGAACCATTTAGGTTTTTCTGTCTCGAAGCAACAGTCGAGTGACAAATCCTATTTAAACACGAAAAGAGGTTGATCATTGTAAGATCAAATTATTCTAGAACTAAAAGACACCTGAATGAGATCTTAGTTGAGTAACTTCTAGGCTTTCTTCTTTTAATAACAATATGTGTTTCTCTGTTGCAGCATCACCAGCTAGCATCCTACCAATAAAGTCACCATGTGGATGATGAAGATCGTGGCCCTTGGCTTCCTCCTCGCTGTACATGCAGCAGTTGATAAGAAGAAGCTGGTTGTTGACAAGAAACCAGCAGATGCTCCAGTTGCAAAAAAGATCAGTGAGCAAGCTAACACACTTGCGGACAAAAGTGCAGGCCTTGCGTTCAACCTCTACCAGACTATGGCCAAGGACAAGAAGATAGAGAACATTCTTGTCTCACCTGTTGTAGTGGCATCTTCTCTTGGCCTGGTAAACCTCGGTGGGAAGGCCAGTACTGCTGCCCAAGCTAAGGCTGTCCTGAGCGTTGACAAGCTGAGTGATGATCACATGCACTCTGGCCTTGCAGAGCTCCTCAATGAAGTCAGCAATTCCACGGCCCGTAACGTCACTTGGAAGATTGGGAACCGGTTGTATGGACCAAGCTCCATCAGCTTCACTGACGACTTTGTTAAGAACAGCAAAAAACACTACAATTACGAACACTCCAAGATCAACTTTAGAGACAAGAGAAGTGCCCTGAAATCCATCAACGAATGGGCTGCCCAGACTACTGATGGCAAGCTGCCAGAGGTGACTAGCGATGTGGAGAAGACCGATGGTGCGCTCATTGTCAATGCCATGTTTTTCAAGCGTAAGTATTTTAAGTTAATTAAACAAGTCCCTTGAATAAGTTTCAATAATGCTGTTTATTTTTGTTAGAAACAAGGAAGGTTGTAGAAATTCAAAAAAATTATGTTTATTATTGTATTTTCTTCAGCTCACTGGGATGAAAAGTTCCACCACAAAATGGTCGACAACCGTGGTTTCATGGTGACTCGCTCCTTCACTGTGTCCGTTCCCATGATGCACCGCACTGGTAAGCAGTGATCAGATCAACTATATAAAATGTTCTGTAAGAAATATTGTGCATACTGACAGCCCTTCTCATCACCACATGATATACTTTAAGCCATCAAAGATCTATACATGGTGTTACCCAACAGAATAACTTCATTTAGTCATCTCCTGCCAGGTGTTGCCAGAAAACAATAGAACCTTTTTAATAGATTATATTGTTTTGGTTATGACGTTAGGAAAAAAATAATCATCTGGTTGTTATTTTTCTTTAAGGTTTGTACAATTACTTTGAGGATGAAGTTAACACTCTTCAGATCTTGGAGATGCCATTGGCTCACAAACTGTCCAGTATGATCTTAATCATGCCGTACCACGTTGAGCCACTGGAACGGGTGGAGAAACTGCTGACCCGAGAGCAAGTGAAGACATGGATAGGAAAGTTTACTAAGAGGGCAGTGGCCGTGTCTCTGCCCAAAGTCAGCCTGGAAGTTAGCCACGACCTCCAGGTGAGTTTATTAGCCAGATCTCTCATACCATAGTATTCGGAATATTACGGTTATTATGTAGAATTCCTTCCTAACGATTATAGGTCCAATTAAGAGCAAAGGCTTGATACCCCCCTTCCTAGATTTAGTTATTTTAAACATGTTGGTTGCAGTGATGTCACTTACTGACTAGCTATTGCATTTTGGGTAGGTCGTAGCTGCCTGCAAGCTTTATATTTATAATGCTTGTGAAAAAGGTTTTACTATTGCTATTTACAGTGGCAGTAACCAGCGGACATTCACTTTACTAAAACAGTCATTTTTAACATGTTTAGTATTTAGAAATCTTTGCTAATGCCTATGGTCATACATATGTTTTTTGGGGGGTTTATTTTAGTGTCGCCCAGGGGTGTCCACAGGATAGATCTCCAGATACTGTAAAACTTTAAGTCAGATGATGCTTTGTTGGTCTTCAAAATGGCAAAGGAGATTGTGGTACTAAAACATCTGGGGATCTACATTTTAAGTACCCTTTGTGCAGTTTATTTAAATCCAATAAGATTTTTTTAAGTTTCTCTTAGCTGGTTCTCACATCTTTTGTCTTCTTAATTCCAGAAACATTTGGGAGATCTTGGCCTGACAGAAGCCATTGATAAATCCAAAGCTGACCTTTCCAAAATCTCTGGCAAGAAGGACCTTTACCTTGCCAGCATGTTCCATGCTGCAGCCTTGGAGTGGGACACCGATGGAAACCCATTCGATTCAGACATCTATGGCAGAGAAGAGCTGAGGGCCCCTAAACTCTTCTATGCTGATCACCCCTTCGTCTTCCTTATCAAGGACAACAAGACAGACTCTATCCTCTTCATTGGCCGACTAGTGAGGCCAAAGGGAGACAAAATGCGTGATGAATTATAGTATATTCCAAAACACAAATGGGGGGATGGCTGGGTAGTTTAAAAAAAAACTTTGATATTGTTTTGTATTACAAAGGGTGCTAAATGGCTCAGGTCACATCTTGTAATTAGACACAGCAATCTGTTTACATCAGCAGTGGTGTACCCTCTGGGGTTAATAGTCCTGACCAGAATAACTCACTGCAGTTTGCAAAGGAGCGGGGAAAGAGATGCTCAATTAAACCACGTACACGGCATTCCAGTAGAGCACACTCGTAATGGATACTATCATGAACTCTCCTTTGCACAGGGCTTTTCAAAATGGTAGCTCCATAGGTGAGGGACATATAGCTAAGGCTGCCTGAGGTTCATGAGGTTTCTAATTAAATAGCAGTTGGGAACACTGGTCTGCAAACCATTCCAAGAAGGTGGGGCCATTCATTCAGGTGGATAATCTAAAGATATATATTTTTTAATGACCGGTAACGTAATAATCATTCCTGGTTGTAATAATAAGCCGCATAGCTTTTAGCAATATCTGTGGCAAGTCAGAGACATTGCTGGAAATAAACTGTGTTCGATAACATTTTAAGATGAGATGGAGATTCCCAATGATCTAGAACACGGCTGAGCAAAAGGAAGATCCCCAGATATTGTAGAACTGCAGCTACCATGATACTTTGCCCTCCTTTAAGAATGTCACAGCATAGTGGCATTAGCAGTTTTACAACATCTGGGGATCTACAATTTGCCCATCTTTGGTCTAGAGCAGGGGTGTCCAAAAGGTAGATCCTTAAAACTACAGCTTACATGATTTTCGTCATTCTAAATGTATGTTCTACAACATCTGGGGATCTCTCTTTAGGAACCCCTGGTGATACTAGCACACAGGATCTTCAGTTCCTGAAACCCCTCACTTTATATCTGCTACATGTGCTTGGAATTAACCCTGTCAGGGTTGCATACAACACAGTTTAATATACACAAGGCATTATGTAACAGAATTAACCCTTAGTACAAGCAGTTATTTTTGTTGAATTTCGTTGCTCAGTCTTCGGCCGCTCAGTGAGATCCCAAGTTTAAAGGTCAGGTGATAAATTGGTAGCACATCCACCATTTGTTTTATGGAATATACTTCCAGGTATTGGAAGCCGGCTCTGCCCTCTCCTGTGAGAGGATTTCATCTGTATTAAGAGGTCAAGGAAGCACATTAAGGGAGATGGCAACTGGTATCTCACTATGCAATCACTCCTAGGACCCGATCGGGTGCTACATCGAATTTCTGAGAATGAATGTGGGCTGGGGATCAGGATGTACGTATTTAAAAATATGGAAAAGAAAAAGAAAAAAAAAATGGATTTTGAATTACTTTCACCATGTGGATTCACAAAATCTGTATTTTGTAAAAGTTACAAGTTTGAAAGAAATGTGAGTGTTTTTTTGCAATACATTTTTAAAATAAAAGTTGCAATTGTTTTTATTTTGAGGTCAGGGTATTTGGGCAGGGTATTGTTGGTTGGTCGCTATACTTGTCCATAGGAACGGTCCAGCTTTCATTATTTGTAGCAGCTTTTTTCTATATAGCTGACGTTAACCTTTTCTATTTCAGAACCCAGAAAATGCATCGAAATATAAAATAATTCATAAATCCCAACATCTCAAGTAAAGAGGGGCTGTGTTACATTGTGACATCATGATCTACTACTGCGATAAAATAAATAAAAATTAAAATCCCCAAAATGTATATTTACACAAGCTAATTTCTAAACACATTTACTAACTTTAGAGGCAAATAATGGAGAGTTTTATTGCTATGAAGCTCTGTGAGACTCTCCAACATGCCCAAAAAATGTTTTACTTTCAGTAACCGCTGCATTTGGGATAAAAAAAGGTTTTTGGATAAAAAACAAAAAACAAATAGCTATTGCTTCTAAATAATAGGCATTTGGCCAGAATGAAAATTGCCCAGTTATTATTATTCTTATTATTCATAAAACGCCAACAAATTCCATAGCGCTGTACAATAGGTGGAATAACAGACGACCTTGATGCACAAGAGCAGAGGGTATTGTGGGCCCTGTTCAAACGAGCTTACATTCTACAGGGAGTGGGGTAAAGTGACACTAGGTAAGGGAAGGGTATTTCATGTACAGAAAAAAAGTAGGTTACTAGAATAGATTACAGTGAAGGGTTGGTTTTTTGGATTACACAGTTGCAGGAGAGGAAGAAGGGTGGGTTACCAAAGTGCAGGGAGGGAAAGCTAATAACTGTTTAATTGATATGCTTTCCTAAAGAACTGAGTTTTTAGTGACCTTTTGAAGGAACTGAGACTTGGTGACAGTCTAATGGAGCAGGATAGGGAGTTCCATTGAAACAGCGCAGTCGGGGGGGACATCAGAAGTGCAAGTAGGAATAGAGAATAGACGTAGATCATAGGGGCCTAGACAGGGCCGGCGCAAGGATTTTTGCCACCCTAGGCAAAAGAAAAATTTGACATCACAATGCCCCACCCATATGATCTGCCACACAGTGTGTGTTTACATTAAAAAGCCTACAGGGACAGGCTATAGACACCAGAACCACTACATTATGATGGTGATGGGCTCTGGCTGCAGTCTGGCTCCACCGGTCTGGTGTAGAACAGGAACTCTGGAGGCTGTTTGTAACTGTGGTCACAAAAATCAATGTTCTGGGAGAACGGGAAGCAGCTCCATTTTTTGGGGGCCCTTTACACAGCTCAAGGTCTGGGTCCCAGGGCCTGACAGTGAGTATGCCCATAAGGCCCACCCATAAGTCCACCTACATGTTCCACCCATGAATTTGCTCACAGGGAGTGGAGTGTGTAGGGGATGTGTTATGTGTTATTGTAGAGGATCTAATATGTGTGCTTATGGAATGTAGTGTATAGGGATACGAGTTTGTGTAGGTGATGCAGTGTGTTTGTGTGTAAGAGATAGAAAGCTGTGTGTGTTTCTGGTTGTCTGTAAGAGATGCATTGTGTGAATCTGTTTTTGTATGCATAAGGGATGCAAGGTGTGTTTCTGTGTGTAAGGGATGCAGTGTGTGTGTCTGTCAGGGGTGCATTGAGTGTGTGTTAGAGATGCATTGTGTTTCCGTGTGTGTGTAAGAGAAGCAGTGTGTGTTTGCATGTGTGTAAGGGATGCATTGTGTGTTTCTGTGTATGTGTGCAAAGGATGCATTGCCTTTATGTGTAATGGATGCATTGTGTGTTTCTCTGTGTGTAAGGGAAGCATGTTGTGTTTCTGTGTGTGTAGGGATGCATTGTGTGTTTCTGTGTATGTATAGGGATGGATTGTGTGTGTGTGTGCGCGCGTAGTGTGAAAGAGCTCCCTGTCCTCTCCCTTCCATCCCTAGGAGCTCTCCCCTGCAGCTTAGTGGTCTCTCCTCTCCCCCCTACCCTCCCCAGCAGTCTCTTCTCACCCACCCCCATCCCTGTGTTCTCCTCACCCCCCCTCCCTGTGTTCTCCTCATCTCCCCTTCTTCTCACCTCCCCCTCCTTGTGTTCTACTCACCTCCTCCTCCCTGTGTTCTCCTCATCTCCCCTTCTCCTCACACCCCCTCTTCTGTTTCCTGTACCCGGCCGGACTGACTGGAAGTGCACACTGAGTGAGCACTTCCTATCAATCAGGCTGGGTACAGGAAACAAATGTTTCTGTACTGCAGACCGGAGAGAAGCTCGGCCACCCATGCTACACAGGGAAGGGGAGGTGAGAGAGAGGCAGTGCTGTAGCCTCTCTCTATAGAGTGCTCAGGCAGCTGCAGCATTAAAAGGGACGGAGATGGGGGCGCAGGGCGCCTCCTCCTATGTGGCACCCTAGGCGGCTGCCTAGTTCGCCTTATAGAAAGTACCAGCCCTGGGCCTAGCCGGGATACACTTGTAGAGATTTGTAAAAAAAAAGCACCAGAATTTTAAATTGAGGCCTAAATCTTAGGGAAAGCTGATTTAAGGACAGTCAGAGATGGGAGGTGTGGGTGAACAGGAAGATGGGCCTCATCACCACATTCGTTATAAACTGTAATGGGGCCAGCTGGGAATGCTTAAGGCCACTGAGAAGCAGTAGTCAAGGCGAGAGATGATAGCGGCATGGACCAGCACCTTGGCTGCATCAGGCGTTAGATATGGGAAGATGCAAGCAATGTTCTTGAGATAAAAGTGGCAGGATTTGGAAAGTGACTGGACCTGAGGGGTGAAGGGGAGGTTGAGGTCAAAGAGAACACCAAGTCAACAAGCCTGGGAGAAAGAACTAATGGTAGTGCCATTGATTTGGAGGGAGTCAGACATGGGAGAAGCAACACTTGAGGGAGGAAAGACAAGGAGCTCTGTTTTGGACAGGTTAAGTTAAAGAAAATGAGTGTCACGAGTCAAGAAGGACGGCGAGAGATCAGTAGAGGACAGTCAGATTTGCATGTCATCGCATAGAAGTGATATTGAAAGCCAAACGATCTCATGAGTTTACCAAGGGAGGCTACATAGATCAAGAACAATAGGGGTCCAAGGACAGAACCTTGGGGAACAGCGACAGAGGGGCTGCGGAGAAGAGGAAGAGCCAGAATAAGAAACATTGAAAGAGCACTGGGACAGGAAGGAGGAGGACCAGGAAAGAGCAGAGTCTCGTATACCGAGATTACTGAGGATGAGAAGAAGTTTCTGATGATCAACCGTGCGGAAAGCAACAGAAAGGTCAAGGAGTGTTAGAAGAGAGTAGTGACCACTGGTTTGATCTATCCTATTACCATCAACCCCTCTCTAACTTTTCCTACTTTCTACTCAAAACATAATCTATTACTCCCCACTTGCTACTAATTTAATTTAGGTGCTCACATCACGATACAACCAAATCTAATGTCAATTTTTTACTTCAAGGGGATAACCTTGAAGTGCCATCCTGTTATGGTCAGGGGATCGTGCTCCCAGAATGCACTGTGGATGAGAGAGCATGCACATTCAGTGTGATATATGAATTGTCCTGGATACAACATTCTGTGAACACGTTTTTCTAAACATCTTTCTTTGTTTACAAAACAAACACAATACAAATATAACATGAAAAGACAATTGTTTTGTAAAAACAGAATTAAAGAGAAAAGTGATAATGGTCATAAATTTACCAGCAAGTTATATGGATTTCCTCACGCGTGTCTTTAGTTTAAAGGGACACTATAGTCACCAGAACAACTACAACTTATTGTATTTGTTCTGGTGAGTAGAATCATTCCCTTCAGGCTTTTTGCAGTGTTTGCATTACAGCCTAGGAATTCCTCCACTGGCCACTCCTCAGATGGCTTCTAGAGGTGCTTCCTGGGGCAGTGCTGCACAGTGTGACTGACATTCAGTATCTCCTCCCTCTGCATGCAGATACTGAACTTTCCTCATAGAGATACATTGATTCAATTAATCTATATGAGGAGATGCTGATTGGCCAGGGCTGTGTTTGGAGTGTGCTGATTCTGCCCCTGATCTGCCTCCTTGACAGTCTCAGGCAATCCTATGGGAAAGCATTGTGATTGGCTTTTGTTCAACACTTCTAATAATGTCAGCTAAAGAGGCCGATCCAGTGAGTTAGGGATGCACGCATGGATTACCCCCATATCTGGTATCTCGCAGTGAGTTAGAAGTCCATGCTTGGATTACCCCCATATCTGGTATCTCACATTGCGTTACCGTGTCCATGCCTGGGTAATCCCATTTATGGTATCTCACAGTGAGCTAGGAATCCATGCCTGGGTTAACCCAATATCTGGTATCTCACATTGAGTTAGGGGTCCATGCCTGGATTACCCTCATATCTGGTATATCACAATGAATTAGGGGTCCATGCCTGGATTACCCCCATTTATGGTATCTCACAGTGAGTTAGGAGTCCATGCCTGGATTACCCCCATATCTGGTGTCTCACATTGAGCTAGGGGTCCATCCCATGCCTGGATTACCCCCATATCTGGTATCTCACAGTGAGTTAGGGGTCCATGCCTTGGTTACTCCCATATCTGGTATATCTGTAATACAGTAAAGGAGTTTAAGAATGCGTGGGATAGGCACAAGGCTATCCTTACTATAAGATAAGGCTAGGAACTAATGAAAGTATTTAGAAAATTGGGCAGACTAGATGGGTCCGAATGGTTCTTATCTGCCGTCACATTCTATGTTGCTATGGTATCTCACAGTGAGTTAAGGGTCCATGCCTAGGTAATCATAATATCTGGTATCTCACAGTGAGCTAGAGGTCCATGCCTGGATTACCCCCATATCTGGTATCTCATAGTGAGTTAGGGGTTGATGTTGAGATTACACATTCTTGGTGACTCATAATTTCTCTGAAGACAAATTAGATATTTATTAAAGCAGCCTTGTCTTTTCTTCCTCTTTGGGTTCTCGTTTCATTATACATCTTGATACTCCGGGAATCAGTACAACTTTAATGCAATTGGTTTTGGCCTCATTAAAATGCAGTATTTTTTGCATGTCCAAATCTTTATAGTTTAAGGTATGGAAGCTACTGATGCTGCTCTGTTAGGGTTAGGGGTAGGGTTAGGGGTATGGTTAGGATTGGGGTTAGGAGTAGGGTGGGGTTAAGCAATTGCCGAAAGTCCCGAATTCCCGAAGTACCGAATTCCCAAAAAGCCGAAGTCCCGAATTTCGGAAGTGCCGCACTGAACTGAATTTTTTTCAATAAAGGTATTCCTGTCTACTCTCAACATAGAGTGTGTAGGGAACTGCACTCACTCCCATCAATCTAAGCCATGGTGCTTAGCTGTACCAGAACCAAACACCAGATTCCCATAGAAGTAGTACAATAAAGGAAAGAGATCCAGACACTCCTTGGTTCAAAAATAGGCAGTTTATTGGAACCACAGCAACGCTTCGAACTTCTCTGTCTTTTTCATGCCCAGGCGTCTCTCTGACACCTTTAACTCTCTTCTTTGCCCTGCTGTGGCCACCCCTCAAACTAACCTTACAGCCGATATCTTTGCATGCTACTTTACCGACAAGATTGAACAGGTAAGGAAAGAATTCTCCCCTCCTTGCCATTCTCTTTCTCAACCACACGTAGATCATGCCTTTCCTACCTTAAGACTTTCTCCTCGGCTACTGAACAAGAGGTGGCTGCGCTTCTCCTTTCCTCACGCCCCACCACTTGCCTGCTTGATCCTGTCCCATCTCATCTTATCAGATCTCTCTCCCCTTGTCTTGTGCCTTCCTTAACACACATCTTCAACTGCTCTCTCTCTTCTGACATTGTCCCTGCTGGCCTTAAACATGCCACTGTAGTACCTATCCTGAAAAAAAAACCACCTCTCGACCCATCTTCCCCTTCTAACTACCATCCCATATCCCTGCTTCCTTTTTCCTCAATGCTTCTGGAAAGACTTGCCTTTACCCGGCTGACTTGTTTTCTCAATTCCAACTCTCTCCTTGACCCTCTATAATCTGGATTCCGCCCTCTTCAATCTACTGAGACTGCTCTTATCAAAGTTACTAACAACCTAATCGCAGCTAAACTACTCCATACTAATTCTTCTTGGAGCCACTATTCCATACTAATTCTTCTTGACCTCTCTGCTGCCTTTGACACCGTTGATCATTCTCTCCTTCTTCAAACTCTTCAATCACTTGATCTCTGTGACTCTGTCCTCTCGTGGTTTTCCTCTTATCTCTCCCACCGCTCATTCAGTGTCTCCTTTTCTAATGACACCTCCTCCCCTCGTCCTGTCTCGTTTGGAGTCCCCCAAAGCTCTGTCCTTGGTCCCCTTTTATTTCCTCTTTATACTGCCTCTCTTGGCAAACTTTTTCATTCCACTACCACCTGTACGCTGATGACACCCAGATATATCTCGCCTCCCTGGATGATGCCATCCTCTGCCATCCTGCAACGTGTCACTGCTTGCCTTTCTTCCATCTCTGACCGCTTTCTGAAACTAAATCTCTCTAAAACTGAGCTCCTTGTCTTTCCTCCTCCTAATACTGATCCTCCTCTTTCGCTCTCCATTCAAGTTTGTGGTACCCACATCAGTCCATCCTTGCAAGTGCGCAGTCTTGGTGTCATACTTGATTCTAACCTCACCTTTGAGTCTCACATCCAGCATGTTACCAAGTCATGTAGATTCCATCTTAAAAACATAGCCCGCGTCCGCCCCTTTTTTATGCAAGATGCTACTAAGGAGCTTGTCCATGCTCTAGCAATTTCCCGTATGGGTTATTGTAACCCTCTCCTAACTGGTCTTCCCAAAAGCCGTATTGCCCGGCTACAGACTGTAATGAATGCGGCCGCCAGACTGATTTTCCTCTCTAGTCGGTCCTCTCACACCTCACCCCTCTGTCAGTCCTTACATTGGCTTCCTGTATCCTATAGGAGTAAGTTCAAAGTGCTAACCCATACCTATAAAGCAGTGAATAATCTCTTCACAGATCCATAGGTATGACCTTCTCCTGTCCGCTGCTCGCACGCGTACAGCCAACTTGCACTTGCAGGACTTCTTGCGGGTGACTCCCTTCCCATGGAATAGGCGGCCTACCGCCATCAGACTCTCCCCTAGTCTTCAATTGTTTAAGAAGTGCCTTAAAACCCATCTCTTTAGGAAAGCTTATGGCCTCCCAGAGTAACCTCTACCTCACATACCTGTCTCTTGCTCTCTTCTAAAGGGCATCACTCTACTCTCTCCTCCAGCTCTGCTTCACTCCCACCTTATTTGATTGCTATTTCCTGTCCAAATGTGTTTTATACCCCACCTCCTATAGACTGTAAGCTCGTTTGAGCAGGGCCATCTTCAACCTATTGTTCCCGTAAGTTTTCTTGCAATTGTCCAATTTATAGTTAAATCCCCGCTCTCATAATATTGTAAAGTGCTATGGAATCTGTAGGTGCCATATAAATGGCAATAATAATAATAATAATAATAATAGTGGTTCTGGTGAATATAGTGTCCCTTTAATTGAGAATTACCAGAAATTAAGAGGAGCCGAACTGGAAGTAAAGTGAACTTGGAGATGTGGAATCCGGTTCAGAAATTTTGGCTTCCATTTAAAATTCATTTGAAAAATTCCCAACAATTCTCAGTTCAGTAAATATTCCGCCTTGTTTGTCTTCCTTCAGATACCAATCAACTAAAAATATTCCAAGTTTAGACTAAAGGGAGGAAATGGAGGAAAGGGAGTCCAAGTCTCGGGATATATCCTATAAATACATTGTTACTATTTCTAAGTCAAAATACTGACGGGCTTCGTCACTAAAGTATTAACACAAATTAAATCAAACTGAAAGCACAGCGGATTTTACCTTTAATTTATTCCAGAAGTTTGGTCCTTACGGGGTTAAATTGAATTTCACTTTGGAGAATAGTTTGAAGCGATGTTAGTATCTTTTATATAAATATTTCCCAATATTCCAAGCTATTAGAAGAATTTCAGACTCGGGAGAAGGGAGGGAGGGGGAGGGGGTGGTGGTTTTAGGTAGTCTGGGAAATCAAAGATAATTTGTAGATTTCCAACAATCACTAAGTTTGCTATTTAGATTTTTCTTCAGTTTCTGAATTTGAATGCTCATGCAAAGTATTTACAAGGGGCCAACTTCAGCTGCTAGTCCCCCCCCCCCTCTCCTCTATCTCTCCTGAGCTGGAGGAGGGTCTCCCTTATCCTCTGTCTGAGAGCCAGTCACTCCCTGATACTCTGTGATTCTCTCCCTGTGGAGCTCAGCCCAGCCCCAGCCCCAGCTCTCTGCATGCTCAGGGTGTGCAGGGTCCTAGCGGAGATCATGGTATTAACTAGTGAATTTCTAATCTTGGCCAAAAATAGCAAAATTAAAGTAAAATGATGCTAAGCCAACATGTTTATAGATCATCATCTATTGTGGACAAAATGTGAAGGTTACTTTTACTTGAATTCACTGAATTTACTTAACATAATTACAATTATTTATATAGCACCAACGTATTCCGCAGTGCGGTACAATAGTTAAACAAAACAGACTCTGAATTCTAACAAAATATGATTGACAGACTGGGACTGTAGGTGAAGGGGGCATGCAAAAGGGAGCTTACAATCTAATGTTACTGTTACTGCAGGACTATGTTACTGCGATACTGTTACTGTGATAGAATGTTACTGCGATACTATGTTACTGTGATAGAATGATAGAATGTTACTGTAACAGAATGTTACTGCGATACTATGTTACTGTAATAGAATGTTATTGTGATAGAATGATAGAATGTTACTGTAATAGAATGTTACTGCGATACTATGTTACTGTGTTAGATTGTTACTGCGATACTCTGTTACTGTGATACTATGTTACTGTGTTAGAATGTTACTGCGATACTATGTTACTGTGATAGAATGATAGAATGTTACTGTAATAGAATGTTACTGCGATACTATGTTACTGTAATAGAATGTTACTGCGATACTATATTACTGTCTTAGAATGTTACTGCAATACTGTTACTGTAATAGAATGTTACTGTGATAGAATGATAGAATGTTACTGTAATAGAATGTTACTGCGATACTATGTTACTGTAATAGAATGTTACTGCGATACTATATTACTGTCTTAGAATGTTACTGCAATACTGTTACTGTAATAGAATGTTACTGCAATACTATGTTACTGTAATAGAATGTTACTCTGATACTATGTTACTGTGATACTACGTTACTGTAATAGAATGTTACTGCGATACTATGTTACTGTGATAGAATGTTACTGCAATACTATGTAACTGTAATAGAATGTAACTGTGATAGAATGATAGAATGTTACTGCGATACTATGTTACTGTGTTAGAATGTTACTGCAATACTATGTTACTGTGTTAGAATGTTACTGCGATACTATGTTACTATGTTAGAATGTTACTGCAATACTATGTTACTGTAATAGAATGTTACCATAATAGAATGTTACTGTGATACTATGTTACTGTGATAGAATGTAACTGTGATAGAATGATACTATGTTACTGTTATACTATGTTATTGGAGTACTATGTTACTGAAATACTATGTTACTGTGTTCACTGACAACTGGGACTAGCACAGATTGCAAGCTTTATATAGCAGTCTGTAAGACTGAAACCATTATTGCTAGCTCTATATGGGAGACTGGGACTGACAGATTGCAAGCTCTACAGGGGAGAGTGTGGGACTAACACAGATTGTAAATTCTCGGGGCTAACACAGATTGCAAGCTCTATATGGGAAACTGGGGTGGGGGGGGGACTGATATAGAGTGCTAGCTCTATGGGGAAGACTGTGACTGACACTAACTGTAAGCTCTTTAGAACAGACTGCTGGACAACAAAGATTGAAATATTAAATTTATAAAGAATACATGCTCTTAAAACAGACTATGCACATTTACATCCAGCAGACTAAGATATAACTGATCAGGAGTAAGAGTAATTATACATGTGGATAGTGGGAGTTGTAGTTTAAATGGCCTTTTCCTGCAGACAGTCTCAACTCACCATAATCCGTTACCTCACACTGCTCTGCAATATACTATATAAAACCAGAACGCCATAATAGAAAACTACAGTATTACCTTCATGTGCTGTGCACTACCACTCCTACCAGGCTCAGCCAGACAGCATGGCAGACATAATAGTACTACAACCCAGCTGCAAGAGGGCTGGCCATAATATACAAAATAGTACATTCAAAAACTTACAGAAAGAAATGCTTCTTTTTTTTTCACTTGTAAAATTATTTCTTCTTTTTTGTATTTATTTAATGCATTTTCATAACTTGAATCTGCCTTTCTTTATCCTGTCATCGCAGCTTTTTTTTTTTAGTAGAAAGTTAAATTTTCTTATTTGTTGAATCCTGGTGAATAATGTTGTCTTTGTGTGTTCTGGGGTTTAAACCTGACAGTAATATCAAATTAACCATCTTTATAGCTGTGTCAATCCACCAAGAGGAACAGAGAAAGGACATTGCTGTGAAGCTCTCCTGGATGATGGGTGTAGTTAGTTGGTTTGAGAGATATTGTCTCCTCTGGATGTAGTGAGTTCCCTGGCTTGCAGGTTTTGAGATCAGTTACACATGATATAATGCTTATATAGGGGGCACCTTCTCATTTTACACTCATACACAGACAGTCCACTGGGTCTTAATGCCTGCCTTGTTCTAACATGTCTGGCGGTGACGTACTGGGAAAGCGTAGAGGGGCACTCCGTCCACCAACACAACATTTTAGATTTTGTCCTGAATAATTAGCTGTATTTCTGCATGCTCAATTTTGTGCAGTTTTTGTGAAAAAAAAAACCATAATTGTTTTGTAGCATTCTGTATCTTAACCGTGAATCCTCTGTCCTACCCACCTCCGCCATTCTAACATTTTGACTTTTTTTTGGACATGTGTACACTCCCCTCTGTCCAGTAACATAGATGATCATGTCATCAAGAAGTACTACAAAGCTGTGGCATACTGCCTATGTCACCTAGGACTGGTACATATCTCCCAACTGCCACGTTCCACAATAAAGAACTATATCACTACCACTCCCCCCTCCAGCCCGTGCTTCCCAGCCCAGCACTCCCTTTCTGCAGTTTAGGGGCGCTCATAGGCCGGGCCAGGGAGTCGCTGAGCCTTGAGTCGCCTGTACCCGCAAATCTTCTGGAACTCTTCTGGATCGAGGAGTTGCCGCAGTCCGGTAAAACTTTGACGAGGGAGCGCTTGGTCCCAGAACCACTCATCAGGGCATTTTTGGAGAGGGTGACATAGGAGGTGGCGAGACATTCAACAATACCAAGGACTTGAGGGAGCTCCATGTCCCGACTGAAAGTGCCATCATTTAAGGTGACTGGGATTTCTACCTAGCGCTCTGGAACTCTGAGCCAGATTGGAGGATGGCCACGGCCTGCTGAAAACTATGAGTGCATCTTGGACTGATTGGGTGCTAAGAAGAAAGCTTCTCAGTGATCACACTATTGTGGGGATGTGGGCACAGGAACCTTTATGTTTTACTTATAGAAACATAGAATGTGACGGCAGATAAGAACCATTCGGCCCATCTAGTCAGCCCAATTTTCTAAATACTTTCATTAGTCCCTAGCCTTACTTGTTTTTGTTAACCCAGTGCCAAGGTGTCTGGCCACTAATTAAATTATCTGGTCAGGTACAGACACCAAAGCACTAGGTATGTCGCAATTCTGTTGTTTTCTCTGGGGACCTCCTGTTGTGGGCCCAGGTATAAAAATGTGACCATGTGACAATAAAATCAGTTCTTCTTCACCCATTTTGTGGGTGATGGTAACAACCCAGCTACTCATGGGAATACCACCACAAAAGATTTCTGAGAACTGTGTTCATCTAACAGCTTTTAAAAGCAGTAAAAAGTTGACAACTGACCTACCAGCTCCAGAAACCCCTGGGGTGAGCACAAGTGAGGCATTGCACAGAGAGTTTAGAAATCTGCTAGTCACCCCCTCCCATTTGTATACAGACAGTGTGCTGGTGTGGTCGTTGGGTCATGCTGGTATTTGATGGCCAATGACTGCTACTTCTACTCTCTGTGAAGTGTTATACACTCAGTGCCAGTGGCTTAGTCCTCGCGGTGAGATTGGCCAAGGTACTTCCTGGAGAAAAAACTCAAGCCCAATGATTATTGATGGGAATTTGCACAATCCAAATCTTATTCTAAGTCCAGTATATATATATATATATATATATATATATATATATATATATATATTATTATTATTATTGAATTGGTAGTTGTCTATGGTTAATACGTTACTATGTTTTAAGAAAGTGTTATTACCACCACTGTCCACCATCCAAAAGTGCCTTCACTAGGGTTGTAGGCATCAGAAGTGGACCATGGAGCAATAGAAGAATGTCTATTGCCTGGTCTGATGAATCAGGTTTTTCTTTTAGATCAGGTTGATGGCCGGGTGTGCATCATTTAGCCGGGAAAGATATGGCAACAGGATACACTATGGGATAAAGGCAGGCCGCCGCAGGCAGTGTTATGTTTCGTAGGTCGTTGTATTCACAAAGATGCCTGTATTGGCCTAATAAACAATTTAAATAAAAATAGTTTGTGATGTATTAAAACTGAACTTCAAAAATGAAACATAAAATTGTCTAACATATATTTTAATTTTAGAACACGTATCAAGATAAAAATCAGAATGTCAAATTTTAGATGAAGGTTCTACAAGTTTTCCTTACAGACAGTTAGAGATACTCTGAGTCCAGAGATTCATATACAGATCTAAATGGGGAGAAAGCTTCATGAAAACCACTGTACATCTCTAATCACTGGATATACACATGATTGACTTCATATAATTTACATAAAATTTTGCACACATGCTTAGAGGGGATGAACAAAATAGCGGAGACACTATCTTTACATAGATTTATGATGTTGATCGAAAAGATGGCATAAAAATTCAATTTGATAAGTTTCTCAATTACGCCACAAAAAAAATAAAATAAAAAAATCTTTGTGACTCCATAGTGGCCAATCAGATTTATCCATGGATCATCAACCTGTTTAAACACCTTGTAACGGCACCCCCAGGCACACAACGGGGTTAAACAGATACACAGACAGCTACTGCAAGCACCAATCTCCCGAACAGGAAACACACGAATTCTCGAACTCCCGAACTGGAAACACACGAATTCTCCAACTCCCGAACTGGAACCATATGAATGCTGTAAACAGCCAAACAGGAAAAACCATACGAACACTTTACACTCCTGGCAGTCGAACTGTAACAGCATACAATCCAATTCCCCCCAAGAACGAGACGACACTTCGTTTTGAGGGTCAAGCAGTGATCTGATTTATTGAGGGCTACCTGCCCGGTATTTATGCAGGTCTTCCACCTGGTGGACACTCCCCTAGGGGACCAGATGGAAGACTGGGACACACACGTTTAAACACTCCCACAATTACATCACAATTCCTCCTCTCTATCCTGGAGATAATTGGGAAGTAATCCAATTATCTCCCAGGACAGAGGCAAAACTCCATTACACACATGGTAGCAAAAAGACAATAAAATACACAATGTTATAAATATTACATAAAACCTATACATTCAACATATCCCCAGATAGCTTAGATCTGAGCACACATTATTACCGAATGGCGCTCAGATCCCATACATACAGTTCAATCACCATGGAGCCAAAGTCTTTCCCATAGTCTTTCGGTATACGAATGGGCTCCATGGCTTAGCTATCGGGGGTAGCGCTGTTCACACATTAAAATACCGAATGAACTGGCATTCGGTTAAATGACCGAAGGCAGGAGAAGGGAGGTCGGCGGCTCAGCGGTGTTCGCGCAAATAAGTGTCTGTTTTCAGTTCCATCGTTTTGTAGCTGAACACCGCTGGCCATTCGGGAGTTTAAGATGGCCGCTGCCACGTGTTTGGTTATACGAACAGCGACCACCCAGCGTTCATCAATTAAGCTGCGGTTAACTGCAGCTTCTGGGAGGTAAATCTCTGGCACACTCCTTGCTCAGGTGGTCCCTTCATCTGTACTTTGGTTCGGTAGATTCAATCTACCGAACGCCCAGGCAGAAAGGCACAAAAAAGCCTTTCTGCAGGGAAAATAAAAGGTTTTTAATGCGGGGCCATAGTTCAAAGGCAGCAGGCGAGCAACCAGGCTTCTCCAGTGCTTTGTGGCAAGGTTGGTTCCGCCACATCTCTCCCCTTTTCCAAAAAGACTAACAAGGTACCTGACCTCCTGTCGGTCGGTGCCTTGGTTAGTCCATGCAACCCACCCACAACACATAATCAACAGAGTGGCCCACCCACAAGAATTTGTAGCCTGGGAACCTGTGAAACTTTGGAAATGGGGAAACTTTGTAGCCCGTCTCTGTCCAGGGAGTCCTGTGGGTTACTGGGTGGGCAGAGACCGGCAGTGTCAGCACTTCAGCTGGAGTAGCCTGGTTAGTGCTTCGCTGGGAAGAGAGGGTGGTATGCTCCGCTCCCTGGAACCAGTGCAACTGCTGGAGAGAGAGACCGACTGTCTCATCTGCCCCATCTGGGAGAATAAGGTCTTCCCTTTGTGAAATAAGCTGCTGGTGGGGAGAGGTGGTAACCGGCTCCTCTCACTTGCACACTCTCTGCCGCTGGGTAGAGGGGGTAACAGGTTCCTTTCCCTGACGGTCTTTCTGCTGTTGGAGAGGGGGACCAACTGTCTCCCCTTTCAATACATTGTCTCGCTGTTGGGGAGCAGGACACCGACTGTCCCATCTCCTAAGGACACACACTGCCGCTGGGGAGGAAGGACGACACCTTCGTCTCCTTGTAACTCACTTGACTGCTGGAGATAGGGACCAACTGTCTCCTCTCCTAAGGACTCACACTGCCGCTGGGGAGGAAGGACAGAACCTTCGGCTCCTTGGGACTCACACTGCCGCTGGGGAGGAAGGACGGAACCTTCGGCTCCCTGGAACTCACACTGCCGCTGGGGAGGAAGGACGGCACCTTCGGCTCCCTGGGACTCACACTGCCGCTGGGGAGGAAGGACGGCACCTTCGGCTCCCTGTAATTCACTTGACCGCTGGGGATAGAGACCAACTGTCTCCTCTCCTAAGGACACACACTGCCGCTGGGGAGGAAGGACGGAACCTTCGGCTCCTTGGGACTCACACTGCCTCTGGGGAGGAAGGACGGAACCTTTGGCTCCCTGGAACTCACACTGCCGCTGGGGAGGAAGGACGACACCTTCATCTCCCTGTAACTCACTTGACTGCTGGGGAGAGGGACCAACTGTCTCCTCTCCTAAGGACTCACACTGCCGCTGGGGAGGAAGGACAGAACCTTCGGCTCCCTGGGACTCACACTGCCGCTGGGGAGGAAGGACGGAACCTTTGGCTCCCTGGGACTGCCACTGGGGAGGAAGGACGGCACCTTCAGCTCCCTGGGACTCACTTGACTGCTGGGGAGAGGGACCAACTGTCTCCTCTCCTAAGGACTCACACTGCCGCTGGGGAGGAAGGACGGAACCTTCGGCTCCCTGGGACTCACACTGCCGCTGGGGAGGAAGGA